GGCTTTCAGGAGAGAACCTGACCTTATCTAGGGAGTACGGCTCAGTGTCTGGGAGTCTTCTAGCACTCTGGGTGGATGAATAGGCCAAGGAAATTTTTCACTATGCTCCTTTTAAATTCTTAGGTAAAGCCAAAAGGGGTCTGAATAAGAGGCAAGAGAGGTTGAAAGGTGGTTCAAAGGGGTCTTCTGGGACCCATAGGCTGTCAAGTCCAGGTAAGTCCTCTAGTCTCTGAAACTGGATTTCACTTCTGGACTCCTACACATCTAGGTTAGTATTTTGTTTTTGCTTTTAGAGACAGGGTTTCTCTGTGTAACAGCTCTGACTCTCCTAGAACTCACTCTGTAGACCAGGCTGGCCTTTAACTCACAGAGATCCTCCTGCCTCTGCCTCCCAAGTACTGGGATTATAGGTGTATGCCACCACCGCCTGGCTCTAGGTTAGTATTTAATGTGCTCTGCTCTATTCCTGGCAATGTCTCAAAACCTTCATCTTGGTCTTGGCCAGATGATCAGGAAAGCAGGTTCTAAGTTCCTGATCATGTCCCCATACAACACTGTTGGGATCAAACCCATCTAGAAGGCATAAAGCAGGTGTAATTTCTCAGCTGATCCCTGGAGATGCCTTAAAAGCCTGAGACACAAAGTTGCCCAGGGGCATGGATCAATGCCACCCTAGGAGAGCTGCAGAGCCATTGAGAAAAGCAGACCAAGGAAGCAGGTCAGAGAGGCCACGTGGCCACCTGCATCTGGTTTATTGTTCCATTTTGTCCAAACTCAGAGTGTGAGGCCACCAAGAGGCAGCCAGGCTGTTCTTTTTGGCCAACTAGAGTTGGGTGTGTGGTGGTAGGGGGACAAAATTCACAAAACATCCATGGGGGTAAGAGTCAAATTTCAGGAGGCCCTTCTGTGCATCTTCCATGCCTAAAACCCCCCAGGGAGGTGTGATGGGACCCGCATGAATGTGCTACTCTCAGAGGAAGTGGGGGCAGCCATTGGGGTCCAGTGGCTTGTGGGCAGCTCCATGGGAGCCTGAATGGGCCTCCTGAGACTGCTAGATACCACCTTGTTCACAAGAGAGAAGGTGGGCTGCTAGGTCAGGTGAGACTCGTCAGTTGCAATCAGGACCTCGTCTAGCTCACCTCTCCCTGAGATGTCCTCTTTCCCACGGTTCCTAATTCTTGCTCACCTCACCAACGTCTCTGGTCTTCACAAAATCCATCTCTTACAGAGGAACCAACCCAGTGGGTAAGGCCCGACATCGCAACACCTCCCTATGATGCTCTCTTGCCAAGAGCATCCTCACAGTGCTGGGCTTCTAATGTGCCCCCCCCCCAAAGGAGGTAAGTATGAGGGTCTGTGGGTATGAGGGGGCCTTGAGCACAGAGGTGAAGGCCTCTCCCTGTGTATCCCAGGGATTGAGGTCTACCCAAGGTCTTGACCCTACATCTGTTGGTGCTGCCAACCCGGCCATGAATGTGAATCCAGAGGGACCGCCAGTCCAGCCTCATTGGGGGCAGCACCTGCGCGGACCTGGTGGGGAGAGAAGGGAGAAGAAAGTCTTGGAGGAAGGCTGGCTGGAAGGAGATAGAAAGCCATTTCTTTCCATGTACCCTAGTCAGCTGTCTAGACAAGCACAAGGAAGGAAGACCTGGACCCCAAGTCCCCAACCCTGCCAAACCCATTCCAGGGCCAAATGAGTGAGGAAGACTGAGATGGATCCCTACCGTAATTAAGAGTATGCCAGGCCCTGGAGCCCCCGGGCTGCAGAGTGGAACTTGTCAGTATCTTCAAAAGGCTGGTCTGTGGTCACCAAGGAGAGAGGGAAATAAGCCTTCTGTGGCCTGGTGATCTTACCTGCCTGTTCTTCTCTGGGCTGAAGATAGAAGGCAGGGTATATAACGCTTCTTACAGGCTGTCAATCTATCTGGCACCCCTCTGGTGTCTCAGGATGTACAGCCCACATCCTTGATTTCCTTACTTCCCTGACCTCTGGGCTTCTCTTCCAGGCTGATCTCTTCTTCCTCTTCTTCTCCCCATCCCTGTGTGTTACTGTGTGTCTGTGTCTCTGGTGTATATATGTGCATGCAAGTGGGCTCATTTGTGGTGAAGGCCAGAGGTTGGTCTTGGGTGTCTTCCTCCACTTTAGAGTCAGGGTCACTCACTGAAATTGGAACTTGCCATTATTTTCCAGGTAGACTCACTGGCCAGTGAACGGTGGGTATCTGCCTGTCTGCGCCAGGGCTAGGGTTACAGGTGTGTTCCCCCACACTCAGCCCTTATGTGGAAGTTAGGTGTCTGACTAAGCTGCTCGTTCTCACACAGCAAATGCTTTGCTCAAATCATCTCCCAGGCCCAGACCCACCTTCTTCAGAGGGCCTGTGCCGAGGTGAGGAAGCAGATGGATGAGGACCAGGACAGTAATGAAGAGGCAGCTTCCAGGAGCACTGATACACACAGCAGCATCCTGTCTGCCACCCACAGGTGGGAAATCCATCATTTCACTAGCTCCCACCCCACCGAGCCCTTTCCTTGAGCTGGCAGGAGAACGCTTGAGTCCCGTCTTCCCCATCTCTCACATTTTAAGCTTTCCAAAAGTTGGAAATAAGACCAAGAAAAGGGGTGCTGTGTCTTGTGGGGGGTGGAAGTTGGGAACAGGGTCCTGCTATGTAACCCAGGCTGGTTCTTTCTTTCTCAGCATCTTAAGTTCTGGGACCCCCAACCCCACCTTCCTGACATTATAGGCAGGCTGCCAGGCCCACCCAGCATCTGTTTGTGTTTTGGGGATCAGAACTCTGGTCCTCATGTTTGAGCTTTAACCTCTGAGCTATGCCCCCAGTCCCCATCTATTCTTTTTGTGTTGCTGGTTTTTTTGTTTTTGTTTTTGTTTTTTTGCTTGTTTTTCTGAGACATGGTTTTCTCTGTGTAGCCTTGGCTGTCCTGGAACTTGAACTGTAGACCAGGCTGGCCTTGAACTCACAGAGGTCCACCTGCCTCTGCCTCCCGAGTGCTGGGATTAAAGGTGTGCACCACCACTACCCGCCCCTCATGTATTCTTTAAGTCACTTTGTCTCTCTGCTAACTCATTCATGAGTTAAGTGTTTTACATTTATCTATATGGCTTATCTTCTAATACTTTGTATATGGGTCCCTATATCCTGACTTCCCTCTCTACACACCTTACTGAGGCCCCCTCCCCTAGAAAAGGAATTAATTCTTCCAACCCTGCTCGGGCAAGGCCTTTCTTGACAGCAGTCCGTCCTGTGGATGGCATACCAGCCAGTCTTCTAGTCCTCTTACCCTGGATATAAGTTTGCAATTGGTTGAATCGCCACCTCAGCTCTGTCTGGAGTGTCCAGAGGAGCAGCCTCCAGAGGGAAAGAACTCATTCTATCTACAGAGTAGGGCGGAGCACAGCAGAGAATTTCCAGATTGCCGCACCACCCTCCACTATAGTCAGGTTTTTTTGGTGGTCAGGTGGATCTTCTGACTGCTGTGTGTATTTGTCATCCTTCGTTGTCTTCTCAGACCTCAAGAATGCCACACACTCCTTCCAGTGTCCCGTCTCTCTCTCATAAAGAGAACCTTAGGGCTCAGAGGCCTTTCAGGGTACTGTCTACAGCGGCTTTGCTTCCATGACTTTATCTTGGCCTCAGCAAACCACTTCATATTTAGGAAACCACATGGGTGTCTCTACCTAAGCCCCAAAGATATTCCCAGGAACTAATGACAAGATAATCTTTTTTTAAAATAAATTTTGTGCCAGGCATAGTGTTGCACTTTGTGAATTCCAGGACAGCCAGGACTGTGTAGAGAAATCTTGTCTAAAAAAATAAAAATAAATGAATAAAATTTGGGCTCTAAGAAATTTGTTTCCTAAAAGATCCGCAGGATAGTTCAAAACAGTATAGTTCAGTTTATTTACCAAATGGACACGGATTAGTCCCTGAGGAATGCCCATTACTATCCAGGAGACTATCCTGAAGGGCGTGTTCTACTCCAGCCTCTGTCAGCTCAGCTGTCCATCAAACTGCAAGGAAACCTTTTAGACACTTCTGCACTTGAAGGGGGCCTTCTAACCTAATATCCACCTAAGAATTTAACCTCTGGTTATTAAGCACCGACTGTGGGGTAATTGCCAAGCCAGGTGCTGTGCTAAGTGCTAAGCTCTGGTGTGGGTCCCAGGAGATCCTTCCCGACACCCCTGCAGCTTCATCATGAACACCTGCAAGTCTTCTGAACATGACAACCTCATCTAGCTCTGTCCCCAGCGATCCCTCCTAACTGGGACTTGCTCTACCCCACACTGTTACTTCTACCTCCTTCCCCATAACCATTCTCTCCTCCTCCCTACCGAGTTTCCAGTGACTATTTGGGCGGGGAAAGTTCTGTGGGCTAAAGTATCTGCGGCCTGTGTGTAAAGTGATGGAAGAAGCCTTTCGCTCCTGGGACACAGGACGGGGACTTGCTCTTAATTCCGAACCTATACACTGGGAAAGGGGAAGGTAGGCTAAACCTTATCCATGGTCAGTGTCCTTTTGGTCATTAGATGACCCAGCATCAACGTGGTGTGACCCTCTGGTGGACACAGGAGAAAGACATGCAACCTGAATGGGTTCCTTCAGCTCTTAGGGTTGGGTCTTTGCTCTAGGCTCCACTGAACAGGGCTGGACTATTGAGACCTTTTCCAGTTGGGATTTCAATCTTCTTGGTCAAGCGGTCAGCTGAGTGGGTCTAGACAAAGGCCAGGACACTTCTAGCTTTAAGTAAGGAAGTGCAGTCCAGATGGGCCTTCCCGGACCCCCACAGAACCTTTTGCTGGGCACCCTCCAAAAACAATTGGTCAGCTGCATGGGACACGGGTGATGATTAGATGGAGTAGGCCTTCCCTCAGGTCACTCTGAGGCAGCCTTGATTGCTCACCTGGAAGCCCCTCTCTGTGGGCTCTGGGGCAGGCCTGGGATGGGGAGCTGGGTGGGCGCAGCACAGGGGCGAAGGCGCTCCTCTGTTTGACAGCGGAGATCATGTTGACCGGCGAGAAGGAGAAGACGCTGGTGGTGGGGGCCGCGGCCGGGAGGGACATGGAGGAGGCAGCCGCCAGCGGGGGGCTAGAGGGCATGACTCCGGGGCGGGGCGAGGAAGGGGCAGGCGCAGCAAGGAAGGCAGTGGAAGACACAACAGGGAGACAGCACCAGAGTGAGCAGCAGGACTGGGGTGCCGCATGGGCAGCGAGTCCCTTGTGGACTGTTGACCAGGCTGCGGGCTCAGACCTCCCCGGGGGCTATGACGGTCCCGAGAAGACCAGTACAAGATAATGGCTAGAGGCAAAATGGGAGCTTCTGGGTCCTGGACCAGTCCTTGCCTTTTGAGGAGTTCTGGACACCATTTTCAGGGTTGGGAGATGACAGGATCAGACCCAGTGAAAACAAAACAACAAACAAACAAACAAACAAACACAAACAGTGGGAAGTGCTCTCAACGATGGGAGATAAGAAAGAGATGAAGCCGGGCAGTGGTGGCGCACGCCTTTAATCCCAGCACTCGGGAGGCAGAGCCAGGCGGATCTCTGTGAGTTCGAGGCCAGCCTGGGCTACCAAGTGAGTTCCAGGAGAGGCGCAAAGCTACACAGAGAAACCCTGTCTCAAAAAACCAAAAAAAAAAAAAAAAAAGAAGAAGAAAGAAAGAGATGAAAAGATTGGAATTCCTGCTGAATACCACTGGGATTGGGAAATGCTAAGAAACGTTTTATGGGCCTGTGCTGCCGAGGCTAAAATCAAAGTTCCAGGGTCACAAGAGTGCTGGAGGAAGTTTTGGTGGATATGCAGCCTCCCGTGGAAAGCTGCTCTCCCAAGGATGACAGCTCACACACGCACCCTCCTCTCTAGGGAGCTTTCCTACCCAATGTGCCCTATACTTCGTTCGTCTAGCCCCCAACCCTGGGCACCGTTTCTTTCCACTTTAGTTCAAGGCCCTGTCATCTCCGGTCTGGACCCTTAGGAGCCTCTTGTATCTGCTAGGGCTCCCGTGCAGGGCATCTCAGTCCCGCCCTTCTCCGTCCTCATCTGAACCCATTTCCCTGCATCCCTCTTCTAAAGACCAGCAAGCAGGATTTTTAATCTTCTCCAACCAGCAGGCAACGGACAGCAGACATCTTGGAAGATATCTGTGGTCTTTGACATTACAACACCCATCCATTGACTTTTGGCACAAAATGACTGCAATAGCTAACCTATTCTCAATGTCCTTAGCCCGTGGTCACCATCTCCCTGGAGAAAATGCTCAGTGCTAGCTGGCAAAGCCATGGCCATTATGGAGTGCTTAGCATCATGATAAAAAATATATATATATATATATATGTGGTATCTGCTAAGGCCCAGAGAACTAATAGCCACATTTGGCAGAGTTATGGAGTTCTAAACTTGCTAATAACTAATACCATAGACCAAATAAAGACACAGGCAGCCCTAGACCCTCTGGCTAGGACAGTTCCGATGACATTGTAGGGACACCTGGGCAAACTCAATGAGAATGACTCCCTGTGCAACTGTGTCACAAGGCATCCTGCACTCAGGAGAACGGATGTGGACCCGAGTAAGAATATTCTGAGATGGGAACAGGTCTGGGTAGAGTCCCGAGTGTCCCTGCCGATGGTGAAGTAGGGCGTAAGTGACTCGGGAAGTTCTGATCTGGTTGACTAGGGTGACCCAGGATGGACTGTGCACTGGGGCAGCTTCTTTCACGGCTGACAGTACTGTTGTGTATCTGGGGAAGGGCGAGAGAGTCAAACCCAGGGGAACACAGGAAAAGGCTGTGAGGTCGCTGTCTCAGAACTGAAGGGACGTGGAGCAGTGGAACCCGGCTGAGCTAAGTGCCAGGAGAGACTGGCCTTGGGAGGGACACAAGAAGGCTACAGCCTGTGTGAACTCTGGCTTGGAGGGACGTTGGGTTCCACAAGTTAAGTCAAGGTCAAAGGAAAATGGCAGGCCAGATTTGTAGCCAGTAAGAACAGCACCCCTGGTAAGGAAAATTAGGCAGGTGGCTAGACAGTTATTTTAGGCAATGAAAAACTGAGGGGACTCCAGGTAAAGCCACAACAAGCTCCTTCTTGGGCAGATGTCGCTATTTCTCAGATTCAGTAGTGCCCGGGCCTTGAGGGACATGGTCTCTTGTGACTGGTAGAGAAGTTTTTGCTGGTGAGAAGTGTGGACAGAGTCCCCCAAACCTGGTGCGTTCTCACCACGTGGGTTCTAAGTACCTGCCTGGTAGCCATTGGTATTGCAAGGCCGTGTGAAATGATAAAGCACAGAAATCCACACTGTCCATCCGTCAGGGAACTGCCTTAACCCAAGACGCCAAGCACTGGGCCTACAAAATCACACATTCTTTCTAAATTTTGTCTGGGTTTCTAGTGGCATATTCAGATAAGAGAGCTACCTGAGGCCGGGTTGTATTGATCCTGTTTTACTGAAGGGGACTTAAGTTCATAGGTGCAACTTGTTGAATGTCCGACAGCTCCTGGCTAAGACACTCAATCGGGTTCTGATCAGAGGGAATTTTCTTGTCTGAACCATCTGGGAGAACCTGAGAGACTGTGCAAGGTACTCAGAGGGCCGGGACTGGAATAAGAGTGTCCTGTGGGTCAGGGGGTGAGGGAGCTCCTCCAGAGCCCCGCCACACCCCTAGGGGCCGACACTCGGTCCCACTGTTTCCCGCCCTGCCCCAGGAAGTGCTGCTGAAACCTGGAGCCACACATCCCGGAGGCTGCCGGGGAGCTGGAAGCCCGAGTCTCTAGAGTTTCCTTAGGCTTCCAGCAGGGGCCGCCAACCTCCTCCCGAAGTCCCGGCGAAGGACCAAAAGGTTGCTGTCCACCAGGTCCCCCTAATGAAGGGCGGCTTCACAATCATGGGAGGGCTAGAAGCGATGTGTACAACTGGGGTCAGCAAAGAGGGCTTAAGGTGCAAGAAGTCTGGCCCCAGGATCCCGGGGCTCCCCAGGATCGAAGCAAGGTCCAAAACCAGGGAGTGGCCGTATGAAAGGAGCACTAAGGGCTCTCCACGGCTAGGCCAAGAGACACCCACATAAGGCAGGAACTGGAAGCCCGCACCCCAGGGTGGGCTGAAAGCAGGGCTGAGTCCATTCTGCATTCCCAGACTGGCCCCACGCCCCCTTTCCTGCGGGCTGGGGACACTCACTGGCGAAAGGTGAGGTTGCGGTGGAGCCATTGAGGAAACTAGGGGATCCGGGCACGCCGAGGCCAGTCACACCCGGCGCCCCGTAGCTGCCGAGGCCAGCTCCAAGGCCACTGCCGTAGCTGCTCTGCTGAGAGCCAGGGCTGGGCGCGAACCGGGGCGACGCGCTGCCGCAGCTGCGGGCATAGCCTGCGGGAGAGTGGCGGTTAGCCCAGCTGGCGACGCTGGGCTCTTGGGGGGCACCGTACCTGAGGGCAGGGGTGGCGGCGACACGCACCGGGCTCCGGTGTGGCATCCCCGACGGCGATGGCCAGGGGGCTGCTGAAGGCGTTGATGCCCACGACGGCGGGGTGTGGGTGGCTGGGGGCCAGGGGTCCGAGGGGTGCGGGTGCGCGCGGGGCGCTGTACAGAGCCTCGGCCACGTCCGCCGCACGCTTCAGGAGGAGCTCCTGCGAAGACAAGAACGGAGCACGGCCGGGGCAGCCGCAGGCGCGGGGTCAGAGCCCCGGCCCCTAGTGCTGGGAGGCGGGCGGAGGCACCATACCTGGTTACTGCTGGGCACTCCGTACAGGGCCTCCGCCAAGTCAGCCGCCCGTTTCAGCAGCACTTCCTAGGGCGAGGGAGGAGACAGAAGGACCCAGGGGCAGCCCCTGGGGGCGCAGCGGGACCCTGGAGAGGCTTCCTCCTCCCCTAGCCCACTGGACATCCTTATTCCCGGCCCATCCCTCTGAGTACCTTGGGCAGCCTCTCAGGGTCCCCCGGGTGTCTGGGAATGACTTTTTGTAGCCTCTGGAATCCGTAGTCAATGGTAGGCTCATTCAAGGCTGGGGAGAATGGCAATATTTGGAGGATACCCCTCCCAGAACAGAACTTACCTCCACCAAGCCCAGCCCCATGTTGTCCAAAAAACCCGCGCTCCAATATCAGTGAACGTCAGGGGAGTCTTCTCAGTTCCTTCAGTTATTTGGTCATAATTAATTCAACAAATATTTACTGAGCCAGGCTCTGTACCAAGCTTGGTATCAACACACACACACACACACACACACACACACACACACACACACACACACACACAAACACTTCTATACTTCTAGGGGCAGGACTCGGGATTTTTTTGCATTTGGTCATATCAGTTTGCCATTAAAAAAAAAACCTTAACAATCTTTATTGATCATGGATCAGGTAGCTTCTTGGCATAACTATCAAGGTTTGTGCCTCAGGAAAGGGACCAGCCAAAACCTTGGGCTCTCAGGGGCTCAGCCCTTGACTCTCTCCCCCTTGAGCTCCTTACTCCATCCTGGTCTCAAAGTTCTACTTTCTTCTCTTCCAAAGCTAGGCTTAATTTCCTTTCCTTTTCTCAACGCATAAAGTACAAACTTCCTGGGCTTTGTTCTAGCCAGTCTTCCGCTACCAACGCCTACCTCCCTATCCCTCTGTAGTTACAGCTTAGCCTAGTTCGGCACATACTCCCAGGTGTGGGCTTTCCTCAGGCAAGTCCTCTACCCTGTAACTCACCCACCCACCCACCCACCCATCCTGTGTTTGCAGCTCAGCCTGCCCAAGTTATGAAAAAGCTACCTGAGGGTATCCCGAGCCCCCATGCCTCAGTGAGTATTGGGAGAAGCCAGTGGCCAGATACAAAGACTGGTGAATGAGGATTTCCACCAGTGGTCAAACTGAACCCAGTTTTCACTGCATCCCCTTGAACCTTGTGCTAACTGTTCACCAAGGCGTTTGTACAAGGGTGTGTATGTGTTTGTGAGCTCACACACACTAGTGTGTGAATGTAGAGTTCAGCCTGCAAGACCCAAGACACCCAGGAAAGACTTGGAGAGTAGTGAGCCAATTTGGAAGCATCTTTGAGGTGAAAAAAGCAAAGCAAAGCAAAGCAAAACAAAACAAAAAGAAAACCCTCGAAGAGGGTCTCAACTCCAGAGTACATGCAAGGAGGGAAAGACTTGAGGCAGAAGTTGTTTCCAAGGAGCCAGAAACTCAGGGAAAGAAACATAGGTCAAGAGGAAAAAGGACTTTGAGAGATCACTTAGTAGGTGTGGGTGTGGGTGAAGGTGTGTGGGGGATGAGGAGCCACTGCTTAGGGCACGTGGCCACCTGTAGATTTCTGTCACCCCCTGCAACTGTGTTTACGTCCTTGAGCTCAGAGGGCTAATCTCTGTGGATCTTAGTCCCTGCTTCAGCTGCCTCCTTCCTTACCTGTGTAGACGAAGCGGCCAGGGGCTCCTTTACAAAACTGCTTGGACTTGTAGGAGAGGGTCACTTCTACTACCCCAGGGATGTGTCGTGGTGGCGTCTGCACCCGGATAGCGTGGGGAGTGATGAGCTGTGAGAGGAGAGGGGGAGGCCTGCAGGTCTAGTCCTGTGGGGAGGGCCTAGCCCTGAGACTCAGAGGGAGACGGGCAGGGGTTGGCTCACCTCGCTCCACAGGAGCACGTTGCCAAACACGACCTGCAACCCGTCGAAGAAGTTGTCGCCGATGATAATGACGGTGGCGCCTCCCGTGGTCCAGCCCTCCCCGGGACTGATGGCCTTGATGCAGGGGGTGGCAGCTGGGAGGTAGGAGAGGACCCAGGTCAGGGGACTGCACCAAGGTGGAGACTGAGGTTGGCCAGGGCTGGGCCGGGAGTCCTGACCTTCAGAAGGGTCCAGGCGGCGGGCCCGGCGGCCATGTTTGGAGTTGTTGTGCACAAACATGTTGTCAGACACGGCCAGCACGTGTCCATCCACACTCACTGTTGTGGACACCACCACCTGTGTGGACAGATAAGACCAGTCTGGCTGGGGCCCTGGGGACATCTGAACGGGCACTGTCAGGGAGAGCTAGCACCTTGAGTTGGGTGGCTGGGAGCTGGAATTCAGAGTGTCCTTAGGGGAGGGGAAGTTCGGTTGGGTGGGGGCTGTGCTGGTGGAGTTGAATCCAGCTGAACCACGTGACACCCCCAGATGGACTGACCTCTCAGGAGCTACAAAAATCAAAAGCCCAGAAAAAGTTGTAGCTCCTCAGGCAGAGTACCCTCCATTTTTGCACACACGGAACACTGTTCAGGATCAATCAAATTTGGAGACAGTTTGCCTTCCTAAAGTTGGGCACACCATCAGTTACAGAACCCATCAACAGGAGCCCCCACTTTATTCTGGGCAGGAAATTGGTGCTGCCTTCTCCCTACCCCCTGCTTTGGGAGGGGTGTGCAGGTTGGGGATGTGCTAAGGGCAGCTGTTCTCAGCTTCACACTATGCAAATTACCTGGGTCGTTAATCATGTAAAAATGTCACAATTAGCATCTTCTTAAGTGGGACTCTAATGAAGCCTCCCTTGGCAGCCAGCATAAGTTGAGATGGAGCTGCCCCACCCCCAGCAGGCACCAGGCACCAGGCACCGGGCTAGGCAGAGAGCCGGCAGGGTCACAGCTTTCCCTTCGCCTATCAGTAAAGGGTAGATTTGCGTGGGGTGAGAGGGCTTTCCCCAAGCCTACCTGGAAGCGGCGCATGTCCCGGGGATTCCCTGCATTCTTCAAGCAGTTCTGGTTACATTTGAGAAAGAATTTGAGGAAGAACCTGAAACAGTGAGGTTGGGAGGCTCAAGGGACTGGGGGCTCTGTAAACAGATGAAGATCATGCCTCCTCCCAGCACAGTGACACCCCTTGTTTGCTTACACACAGGTGCACACTCCTTATTCCTATCTCAAGCTGTGTACACACGGGGTGCCTGAGATGGACCAAACAGATCCATCACCGGGACTACCTTATTACACAGATGCACACAGTGCTTATTTGTCTATAAAGTGTCTGTTTACCCACCTGCACAATGTAGACCCATCACAGAATGTGCTAATCATAAACTCTACGGTATATGTGTGTACCTACTCACAAATTATACTCATCACAATGTGTACCTATCACACAAACAATGTATAGTCCACATGTAGAATAGACTTACATATACCAAATACCAAACGTAAGCTTTTCACCATGTATCTGTTACAGTCTGTGCCCACCACACACAATGTATCTGTCATACAGCACATCTCTCCCCCAGATAATAACCACCACCTATACAATGTGTACTCAGCATAAACCGTGTCAGTTATCGATGATGCATAGGCTTCATTTATTATTACTCACAAGACACAGCCATACCACAAGCATATACTTCACATATGACCTATACTCATCAAACATGAGGCCGGGTGGTGGTGGCACACACCTTTAATCCCAGCACTTGGGAGGCAGAGGCAGGCAGATCTCTGTGAGTTTGAGGCCAGCCTGGGCTACACAGTGAGTTTAGTGAGAGAGAGCCTGTCTCAAAACAATCAAAAACCAAACCAAGCAAGAAACACAGATTATGAGTAGTACAATGCACATGTGTGTCTATGCCCATCATGTGTGTTATGTATCCATCCGACAGGGTATATGCATAGCAAGAATATAAAAAATAATATACCTACTTGTATATGATTTAAAAAAAACTGTCATTGACATCCCCCTCAGCAGATCCCTCTTCCACAGATTTTATATTCATTATACACAGAAAACCTGATAACACGGAACACATACTTACCATATGCACACACACCATGCAGATATGCAGATTAGCTTCTTTGTTTTTGTTTGTTTGTTTGTTTGTTTGTTTTTCAAGACAGAGTTTCTCTGTGTAGTCCTGGCTGTCTTGGAACCCTTTTGTAGACCAGGCTGGCCTCAAACTCGCAGAGATTCACTTGCCTCCGCCTCCCAAATGCTGGGATTAAAGGCGTAAGTCACCACTATCCAGCTTTTTTTCCATATAATTGGTAAACAACAAACAACAACAAAACAAAAACACAGAATATGCCGTGAATAGACCAATCCTCCAGTCTTCCAAATTGGTGGGAAGCCCTGACACCATCAGTAAGGTAACCATGGACAAAACTCTAGCCATAGTAAATGCAAATACTATAATGTGTGCCTTAGCCCTATGAGACTCTGGGAGCATCTTTGGACATGTCTTACATGTAGAGGGCAGGGCTAGGTCCATGGAGGGTCTTGGCATATAACATGGCTTCCTGGGCATCTGGTGGGTTCTTCTAGTTAGTGATCCCAATTTACTTCCACTTATTTGGGAGACATTTTTACCATGCTGTTTCTTATAATAAATAGCAGATCAGGGTCTAAAATTAGGGCAATACTCTAAAAGAGTTCATATTGTAGCTATCTATATACTATTTATATACATTTCTCACTTGTTAAGACATTGTATGGTATAGATGCTCTAAAGCCTCATTCATACATAGTCCTCATACATGTCCCACACTCAAATGGTGTATCAGTTCCCTAGGCAGAGTACAGCCTAGTTCATTAATTTTCAGTATCCACCATACTTTATCAGGGGTTAAAAGGAGGGAAACATCTCAGATTGGGACACAGTCCATGTGCTGAGGGGGTTAATGCTAACTCTTAAATAGCAGCATGGTGGTGGTGGGATGACCCAAAAGGTATCCACACTTGCTCACTGTACCTAACACCCAATCCTGTAGAGTTGAGAGGAAGGGTTCCTAGGAGGTGGATGAGATGTGGGTACCGTGAACAAGTGCTACCCTGCACACACTCTGTCAGCTGGAGAGGTGTGAATGTAACGGTGGTTTTCAGAAAGCATCCAGACCAGCAACACTGCATGGAAACTTGGTAGGAATGCAGAAGCTCAGGCTCTGCCCTAGAGCTGCTGAATCTAAACAGTTTTGTGGGAGTCCAACATCTGTGTTCTCTTAAGTCCTCTATGGCATTGAACCTCTTGGAATGTGTGTAGTCTCAATCTGAGATGTACCACAAGTATGAAATACATACTTGGATTTCAAACACTTTGGAAAAGATTATAAAATAACTCAGGAGTTAGCTGGGCATGGCGGTGCATACCTGTAATCTTAATACTCAGTGGGTAGAGGCAGGAAGATCAGGAGCTCAAGGCTAACCTCAGCTACACAGTGAGTTTAAGGCCAGCCTGGGCTACATGAACCCCACTCCCCGAAAAATAAACCTTGGTAATTTTTGATTACGTTGGAACAATAATAGTTTAGATACATTGGATTAAAGAAAATACATTATCAGCATTAATTTTACCCATTCTTTTTTAAAAAAATAAGTTGTTAACTAGAAAATCTTATATGTGGCCTGCACTGTACTCATGTTAGATAATACTGCTGTAGAGTGTTATGTCACTAACAATGCCCTGGAGGATCTGGTCCTACTCCTATTCCCAGTGAATGGGGCAGCCGTACTCTGAGGCTAGGAGCTGACTGGTAAAAAAAAAACAAAAACTGGTAAGATGTAAATGATGCTTGTTAGAAGAAGTAAATAATTTTTTGTTTGGTAGAGAAATTTTGCAATGCTTGTGTCCTATGGACACTATTTAGCTTTGTATCTAACCTGTCATATTCTAGCCTTTTCACACACTTTCTGCCTTTCCTTTCCTTTCCTCCCTCCCCCCTCTTCTTCATAGTTATGGGTAAATTTCCTGAGCCAGTCTGTTACCCCCCTGGTTACAGAGAACATCAACAGATTCACAGTCATGGTCTTTCTACATTTGAAGATTGAGCTTTGACATAAGCGACTGTACCACCCCGTGTCCCCGCCGCCCAAGGCTGGAGTTGGAGGACTTCTGGTTGGGAGAAGGTGCGTGGTGAAGTAAGAGAATGGCAAGAGGGTGGCAAGTTCTCTAACCCACATCTGTAGAGGTCAGATGTGGAGCCTGGGAGCTGGGGCAGGGGGGTTCAGGAAGCAGTGGGGAGGACAGCTACAGAGGGACAAACACACATGGGGGGATGGACCCAAGCATCTAAACACCACCAGGGACCCGAGGCATGTAGGCAGGCATACTTGTTTTGTTGAGGATTTGTAATCCCTGCTCATCACAAGGGGAGTACACTTCACCCCTAAAGCCCTGTGTCTTCTGGGCAACTCTCCTTGTCCCTGGCTCCACAGGGCTGGAAGGGAGCTCCAGGAAGCCCTTTTCTCTGACTGAGATGGGTCACAGGCTTGGGGGAAAGAAGATATGGCCAAGCCATAGACCCCAGTAGAGTGAGTATGGGACTTTACTTAGTGCCATTCTCACTGGCGGCAACAGATATCTCTGGGGACACAATTTCATCTGGATCTCCAAGAAATTACTCTAAGAGAAAGGCCACACCCCAGGAGCTGCCCTTGGAATTAATGGAAGGAAATACTACACATACAAGTACGAGGTGAAAATAAAATGCTTCATAGAGGGAACGATACAGAACCCTTAGAGCAAACCCATTCTAACCAATTATTAAGTGAATGCCTGGGACTCTGCTCAGTCCATCACTTATTATTATCTCGTTTCATCCTCTCAAAACTCTGAGGCGGTGTGTAGATCTATAATTGTTCCCACTGCACAAACAAGAATCAAGGCTAAGCGAGAATAAGTTATACAGTATGTAAGTCTAAAGCTGGGATGTGAACTTTGGTCTCTTTGAACTTCGGCTGCTGATAAGAGTCCCTGTAGGTGGGGATGTCAGAATCCAGGGTTACCAAGCCACAGCGTGGTGTGGCAGGACTCTGCAGCCTTGAGAGGTGTCCTGTGCAGGGACCAGTAGATCCAGTCTATGCTATTCCATCAGAGTTTCCATTGGCCTGTCATGTGGGCCTTTGGATATTGTGACTGTGGCCTTCAAATGTGCTAGATTAAACATACCTGAACAAGTATGTTTAATTAACATTGATGATTTTTGAAGCTCGTTGAGGCTCAGTATCTTTCTGCTTCTATGTTCAACACTCTCCATACTAGAAAATGTGACTAAGGTGGGGGTGGGGGGTGGCACATGCCTTTAATCCCAGCACTCAGGAGACAGAGGCAGATAGATCTCTGAGTTTGATGTTAGCTTGGTCTACAGAGTGAGTTCCAGGAGAGAAACCCTGTCTTGAAAAACAAAAACAAAAGAAAGGAAAGAAAGAAAAGAAAATGTAACTAAAAAAACAAAAACAAAAACAAAACAGAGGGGGCTGGAGAGATGGCTCAGAGGTTAAGAACACTGACTGTTCTTCCAGAGGTCCTGAGTTCAATTCCCAGCAACCACATGGTGGCTCACAACCATCTGTAATGAGATCTGGCTCCCTCTTCTGGCCTGCAGGGATACATGCAAACAGAACACTGTATACATAATAAATAAATAAATCTTTAAAAAAAAACAAAACTGAGAAGAGCTGTGAACAGTACTCATCCACTTAATAAAGCATATAAGGTAAATAGGCACCAGGACACAGCTGCCTGTGATTTAAATGACAAGAGCAGGCATGGTGGTGCACACCTTTGATCCCAGCACTCGGGAGGCAGAGGCAGGTGGATCTCTGTGAGTTCGAGGCCAGCCTGGGCTACACAGAACTACATAGGGAGACCTTGTCTCAAAACAAAAGAAAACAAACAGGCACACCTGCCTTCCTACATCTGAACTTAGTCTGATCTTCCTAATCATTTCTCTTGGGACTTTTTATTCCTGTGAATAAACACAGCTCAAAATGAAATTAAACTGGCCCTTCTTCATCAATGGAACATTCCAAAATGCAAG